AATAAATAAATAAATAAATAAACAAACAAACAAACAAACAAACAAACAAACAAACAAACAAACAAACAAATGTTTTCCTCTTGGAAACGACTAGGCTAAAATAGGAATTAAACACTTCTGCCTTTTCTTTGTCATCTGTTCTCATTTTCTGTACGGGTAGGTGAGGATTCCCAAGCAGTTTTGATGAATATTCCTCAGACGGGCAGATTTATCCACATTTGGAATGGAAGGGATGTACCGTTTAAAAAAAGAAACCTGAATGTTGGACTCATCCAAACCCAGGTTCTGTCCTGCTTAGCTTTCAGTCTCTAGATTGTTTGAATCTCTATTGTTACAGTTTATATTACTGTCAAATTAGGGCTGCCCCCTCTATCCCATCTCCTCTGGAACATCCCTCACAGCTCTAAGATAGGCATCACTGGCCACTTCATGCTCGGAACAGCTGTACCTACTGACTCGTCTGGTACAAAGGAGGCAGAGTTTCATTCCAGTGTGCTTTTGAAGTAGTGACCCAAATTGCACAGTCAAGATTGGAAGAACACGAGGTTTAAGCATTTTGAATATCAGAAGACATGACACTGACATATCTCCTTATCCCTACATTTCTAGGAAGACACAGCTCTGCTGATGCCTCTTACCTTCAAAATTTCGGGCTTCTGTGTTGACATGAACGGGAGTCATCATGACAGCCTGGGTTAAAAAAATACATTAAAAAGAATAATGTTAAGGTATATCTCCAAAGGTTAATCTTGTTAGTCTGCTGAAATAATAAACATTTTGTGATGTTGGTGGCAGACTGTGAACAAGATGTCCTTATATAATAATCATCATGTGACATTTTGTCATGTTGGTGGCAGACTATGAACATGTCAGCAGTCAAGATTATTATCATTTAAGATGTCCTTATATAATAATCATCATGTGTTGTCAAGTTGGTTCTGACTTATGGTGACCCTTTTTAGGTATCTCCAGGTACAGAATACTCAGAAGTGGTTTCCCATTCCCTTCTTATGGGGAGCCCTGGGGCTGTGCAACTTGCCCAACATGTTGGTGGCAGACTATGAACATGTCAGCAGTCAAGATTATTATCATTTAAGATGTCCTTATATAATAATCATCATGTGTTGTCAAGTTGGTTCTGACTTATGGTGACCCTTTTTAGGTATCTCCAGGTACAGAATACTCAGAAGTGGTTTCCCATTCCCTTCTTATGGGGAGCCCTGGGGCTGTGCAACTTGCCCAAGGCCACACAGGCTGGCTCTAATTTTGTCCCGTGCAGTGGAGAAGTGAATGCTCAATTTCTGGCTCTGTAACCAGAGACCTAACTCACCGAGTTATCCATGCAGTGGGGAAGTGAATGCTCAATTTCTGGCTCTGTAGCCAGAGACCTAACTCACCGAGTTATCCACCCTTATAAAAAGATAAAGGTTCCCCTTGACAATTTTGTCCAGTCATGTCCAACTCCAGGGGGTGGTGCTCATGTCCATTTCCAACCCACAGAGCTAGCATTTGATCGCAGACAATCTTCCGTGGTCACGTGGCCAGCGTGACTAGACATGGAATGCCGTTTACCTTCCCACCGAGGTGGTACCTATTTACTGTATCTACTTGCATTTGTGCATTTTGCATGCTTCGAAGCACTAGGTTGGCGGGAGCTGGGAGAAGCGACAGGAGCTCATTCCCTCGCGTGGATTCGATCTTACGACTGCAGGTCTTCTGACCTTGCAGCACAGAGGCTTCTGCGGTTTAACCCATTCACCTCCAGAGGGCTATGTTACCATCATAATCTGTACTGTTGTGAATGGTTACTTTATGAGTTTTGCTGTAACTGAATTGTACATCAGACAATGTTTTCGCCATTGTTTTCATTTAAGCCCAAATTCCACATTTCTGCCACTTTAAATATATACTTGGGAGAACCAGTATTGGGTTAGGTCTCAGGAGGCCTAGCTTCAAATCTCTGCTTGGCATGGAAATTCACTGAGGAATGCCAAAGGTGAACCACCCACTTCTCTATGGGTCAAGATATTGCCAGCCTCACCTCAATAACCCTGGACAGCCCATAGGTGGTGGCGAGATGCAAGACCGTCTGTCCCTTCTGGTCCACTGCGTTGACGTCTGCGCCCAACATGATCAGGTCTTTCACAATTTCCGGCTGGTTCGCTGCGGCTGCTACGAGGAGTGGAGTCTGGGCCCAAAGGAGAAAAAGCTGTGAGTCACTGCGACTGAGCATAGCTGTATCATGTGGCTGATTCTAGGCAGCTACCTAGAGCCCAGTCTATAAGGGGCAGCGGTAGGGAAAAAAAAGGAATGATTTATTTGCCACCTTAGAGGACCTCAAAGAACGTCTCAACAGAAATATAAAAGAGATGGATGGTCCCATTCTGTATGCCACGCGCCTAGTAGACCTTGGAGACAAATGCAAGGGAAGGGCATTGAAGCAACCTCTGGCTCACGGTGGGCTAGAGGAGACAAGCATTGCCAACTTTTCAGTTGCCTTGTGCAGCTGGACCTTTAGCATCATTACCAAGGAGACCAACTCATTGTTGGCACTAGCTCCTGACTGGTAGTTACCGGTTTGCCCTGTCTTGTCCAGTTTTGAATCCCATTAAATAGTGCCCGTTTATACTGTTAGAGGATTGGTGCAGGGATCAAGAGGTACATTTGCCTTGCAGGGCCTCCACCCCTTCCTCTCTTAGTCTTCTCCGTTGTGCCCACCCCAGGTTCCAGCGTTATGCTGTGTTGTGTTCCCTTCAGAAAGTACACTGACGTTCATATGGGGCTGGCAGCCCTTCCTCGCTTAGTCTTCTCCGTTGTGCCCACCCCAGCTTCCTGTCTTACGCTGTGCTGTGTTGCCTTCAGAAAGTACACTGACGTTCATATGGCGAGGGCAGCTCGGGGTTATGTTCCATCCCCATTCAGATAACCCTAATACAGCAATAAGACGTAGGAAAAACAACCTCCAGTCTCCCACGGCAGGGGGATCCCCCACACAATGCTCTGGGGGGAGGGGACAAGTGTGTGTGTAAATGACAGTGTTCCTCTGAAAGACGCAGGATTTCTTTCCCTCCTAACACCTCGGCTAGACCATTTTTCCTTTGTCACCTCAAATTCTTGCTGGCGGGCCATTCATTACTTCTTGTTTCAAAGTATAAGCCCAGTCAACAAATCTGGAATGGGAAACTTGTTGCCTTCCAGTGATTGATGGATGGCAACACCTCCCATCCTCGCTCACAACAGGCTACGATGTGCATGCTGGGCAATGGGCACTGTAGTCCAGCAACATCTGGGTGTTGCCTTCCAGTGATTGCTGGATGGCAGCACCTCCCATCCTCACTCACAAAGGGCTACGATGTGCATGCTGGGCAATGGGAACTGTAGTCCAGCAACATCTGGAGGCCCCACTGTTGGCAAATCCTGGATGAAAGGGGGGCAGCTGGAGAGCCTCACCCCAGCTGCCTGGGGAGACGATGAAGAAAGCCCCGCTTGACCATCCCCTTACCTTTCCCCGATGCTCTTTGATGTCCAGCCTCCCACAGTCTCGGAGCATTTCGGCGGCGGCGTATGCCAGTGGGCGGCGTCCTTGGGCCACAAACAGATGGAGGCACCTGAAGAGGAAGGGCATGGAAGAGTTCAAAACTGGACAAAACAGGGCAACCCGGTAACTACCAGTCAGGAGCTAGTGCCAACATGCCCTCCCTGGCTTTGATACCCCTTTATTTGATACAAGACATTTCCATGGGTGAGAGCCAGTGTTGTGTAATGGCTAAAATATCAGAGACAAGCTGAAGTCCTATCAAGCAGTTACACTTGCATAGCTCAACGTTACGCCAAGAGTAACTCTAATTGCCCCAAGGCAGAAATGGTATTCATAAAGCACCATTGGTTGAGAAGGAACTCTGCGGCCGAGTGCACAGTGATCACAGTGGAGTGCCAAAGGTGAACCACCCACTGGAGGTGTAACATGACTTGGGTATCTGGCAGGGGAGCCAGAGGCTGGGAGTTCGATTCCCCGCTCTGCATTCCAGAAGAGCCAGCCTGTGTGGTCTTGGGCAAGCTGCACAGTCCCAGGATGACCCCCAGAAAGAATGGCAAACTATTTCTCTATATAGAAAACCTTGCAAAACGATCACCATCAATCAGAACTGACTTGACAGCACACAATTAATAACTTTCCACTACACTAAGACAAATAGGATTCTGGCCGCTGTGTCAGACGAAGACTTAGGTGACTTGGGTTCTAATCCTTGGTTGGCAATGGCAATACAACTGGGGTGTGGGCTGGGGCAACTCGGTCTTTGAAATCTCATGTGCCTTCAAAACCCTATTAAAATCCCCATTAATTGGAAACAACTTGGCATCACATACGTAGCAACTGAACACTTTCAATCATTTTCAGCTGACACCACGTCCCCTTTTATGCGTCTCCTGCTAACTCTTTCCCTCCTAGGGTGACCCTGCACGCTTCTCCTTTGCAGAGGAGAGTCCTCCGTTTCGGAAGTGGAAAATCTTTGACCTTCTGCTGTGTCTGCATTCATCTCCCATCATTTCCACCGACTAGGGGCAGGGTTTAGGGACTGTGAAAGTGGGAGATCAAAATGTATGAAATGCCAAAGGTTCCATAAGGTTAAGGTTAAGGTAAAGGTAAAGGTAAAGGTTCCCCTTGACAATTTTTGTCCAGTCGTGTTCGACTCTAGGGGGCGGTGCTCATCCCCGTTTCCAAGCCATAGAGCCAGCATTTTGTCCGAAGACAATCTTCCGTGGCCACACGGTCAGCGCGACTTAGACACGGAATGCTGTTACCTTCCCACCAAAGTGGTCCCTATTTATCTACTTGCATTTGCACGCTTTGGAACCGCTAGGTTGGCGGGAGCTGGGACAAGTGACAGGAGCTCACTCCATCGCGTGGATTCAATCTTACGACTGCTTGGTCTTCTGACCCTGCAGCACAGGTTTCTGCGGTTTAGCCCGCAGCGCCACCACGTCCTTTAAAGGTTCCATACCTTTGCTTTATTGCAAAGGCTGTGTAACCCAAGACCAGTGGAAAGATAAACAATCCTAAGTAGAGATGGGCACAAAGCACTTTGTGCTGAGTCATCCTAAGTTGTCAGTGCTGTGTGTTCCCTGCCCGCTCCCCCCACCGGCACTCCCACTCACCAATTGGATTCACCATGGACTTCCCTTCTTTGCCTCCCCCAGCAGATGCCCACTGAGATGAGGAGGTGGGGCAGGGATTCCTGCTGTACTGCCTGTAAGTGGGCAGCTGCTGGAGAGGCGGAGAAGGGAAGTCTGTGCTCCTGCCAGGACTGGAAGATCACAGGATGGGGAGGGAACAAGCAGTGCACTCTGGCTGATGAATGGGGGTGTTGTTGTGGGGGTGTGGAGGCAGGGAATGTAAGGCACCTATGATGCCACACCAGCAACTTAGGATGTCCCAGCATGAAGTGCTTCATGCCCATCTCTAGTTAGGAAGGGAGACCAGCAAAGCCTCGGTTGCTGATTAACAGACTAAACAGCAAGCACAGAGATCACTGCTCCAGTCTTCCTCATTATGAAGAGATGCATGGACTTCCTACTTAAATTAGAACCATTCATTCTAAAACTGTGCCTGTACATGTAGGTCATCCTATCCCCTTTTAAAGGAAATATCCCTTGCTCAGCCTCATTTTGCTGACCTAGATTGAGAGGCCTAGATTTTTCCTTCTGGATCTTAACTACGGGCAAAAAAAAAAGGTGTTTTAAGATCATTCCCACCAATTCCTTTCCAGCCTGAAAATCAGAGCCTGGGAATCTCTTTTTTGCACTACAGCTTCCATAATGCCCAGCTACTAGGTTCAGTGGCCAAGCTGGTTGGATGCTGCAGTCTAGAACAGTGGTTCCCAACCTTGGGTCCCCAGATGTTCTTGGACTAGAACTCCCAGAAGCCTTCACCCCCACCTCTGCTGGCCAGGATTTCTGGGAGCTGCAGTTCAAGAGCATCTGGGAACCCAAGGTTAGGAACCACTGGTCTAGAAAGAAGTTTCTGTGTTCTGCCGACAATAACAGACGAGCGTATGTGCTCCAGTCCCCAAACTGAGCCTGCAGGATTACGTTTTTTTTGCCCACCGAAGCCTCTCCAATCTTGAACTTTTCTATGGCGAGCATGCCCCCTTTCTCCAGAACAGGAGGATGTTGTTGTTGTTTTTTTGCCCAACGAAGCCTCTCCAATCTTGAACCTTTCTATGCCAAGCATGCCCCCTTTCTCCAGAACAGGAGGAAGCAAAGCAAACTCATAGGCGGGATGGTGGTAGGGAGAGATCTGTGTCTGCACCCCCTACACACAAGCAGTATACTCACGTGTCCCCGTCTTCATCCTGCTGCAGGAGATGTGCCAAGCCCACATTCTGGATCTGCGCCCGAGCTTGAGCCAGTTCCACTGGATCCACATCGACAAAGGCGGCTTGGTAATTCCCAGGGACAGGGAGATAGGCGTTGTTCTGGTTTTGCTCCGTCCAGCTGCTCCTCAGCCCCGTATAGAGATTCGAGTCCTGGGCTTCAGCAGCTGCCTGCTGGAGAAGGGAAAACATGACAAAATACAACCCGTCTCTCTCTATATGTCAAACCACCCCTGACCCGTGCAGGACCTCCCAGTCCAAGGCTTCCTGCTTATTTACCACTTTCCCATCAAGAAACAGTTTCCAGTGAATGTGTCAAGGAAGAGGAACTCGTTCAAAGAGCTAGCATTGTTAGGGTGTTTGACCAGGACTTGGGGAATTCAGTTCGAGCCCCCGGTGAGAAATAAAAAAAAGCTCACAAGGTAAACCCTTCTCGCTCTGACCTACCTCACAGGGTTATTGTGACAATAAAGGAGGAAGCGAAGGTTTATTGGTGGAAAGGTGGGTTTTATAAGTAACTAACCAACAAGTGCAACATAGAGTCTTCTGACATCTTTAAAGGACAGCCCGTTTTATTTGACATAAGGCTCCTGGACAGATGGAAGTCACTGACACCTTAAAGCAAGTAAAACTTGCTAAGTCTTGAGTGTCATAAGCCTCGTTATTGCTTTAGCCACAACAGCTACTATAGACGCCCCTCTGGACATTAATTAATGAAGGCGTAACAAATTCACAAGTGTACTGTAAGACTAAATAGCAACAAAATAATTGTGTGTGTGTGTGTGTGTGTGTGTATAAACAATTTACAAAGACTGAAACCATAAACACAATTAAAAACTAAACCTTAAATAACACAAAAAAAACATATAAGCTTTCCCATGCAGAGGAGAACAAAGGAGCATAGGTTAGCCCTCCCCCCCCTTTATATCTGTGGTGGCAGGCACATATCATCATCATCATCATCTTTCAGGCAGGCTTTTGACAAATGGCTGGCTGCTGAGAAAGTGGCTTTTAACAGAGAGGTATTGTACTTTTTTTGAAAAAAAATCAAAGCATGTTTTAAAACTACCATTTAATTTGATGGCACTTTGACCTTATTGCAATCAAAACCCAAGGTTTCGGGTGCACTTTATTAAGGGTGCACAGGAGACTGCAGTGTGTAGGTCAGGGTTGCTGATTCAGCAGCTCCTGGCCCACGTGTCCGATGATCCTTCAGGCCCCACATATCCTGGATGGGCATGTTCATGCAGCCACCAAGTGGTAGCTACTTTACCGATTAGCTGAACCGGCTTCCATAACTGACATTCTGCATGTGGCAATTCCCAGGAGGGTTAACGTTACTGCAACAACATGCCTTTACCCACAATAAGTTCTCATGTTTTTATCTTCACCTGCTTTTAACCCTTTCATGTGCAGCCTCAGTTCCCAATTTTGGGAGCAAGACAGGACCGAAAATACATAATTAATTCATCACACGTAGCAAGGGACGGTCATAGGGATGCATCCTGAAATGAAATTCTTCACAATTTTACACAACTCACCTCATAAGGTAGTGCTGGTGGCATCTTGGAACTATATACCGGCTCAGTAGCACCAGATCCCGCTGCCCCATAAGCACTGGGTTCCAAGGGAACGAAGGCGCTCGCCACATCATACGGGTCAGGCCCTGGAGACGGGAGGCAGCAGTTGACATCATCCCCGGGCTGGTAGGGGCAGCTAGGGGGGAAGGTGGTGCGCTGTGTGACATCTGGCTCCCAGGTTGGAAAGGTGGTCACTGGGTACTCAAGAGGTGTTGGTCTAGGGGGGCCCCTTCCTTCTATTGTTGCAGGGGACGGTAGGAATAGGGGCTCTGCTAAGAAAAGAAGTAGCACAGAAAAGCTGTTTTCACTACTGCAGTGGTCAAGTTGAAAGTGCAGGTGCTCATTGTGACACCCTGGTAGCAGTCCCCACCCCCCAAAACAAAGGAAAGATTTAAAAAATGCAGATAGTCAGATTGGTCCATATCTACAAATGAGGAGGAGGTCTTTTGTAAAGTTAAAAGCTCTTGATTGCCCATCCACATTCAAATACTTTGCAACCATTAACAGCTCTTGATTGCCCATTCGAGACCAATCCACATTCAAATACTTTGCAACCATTAACTGTTCCTGGGAAATTTGATTTTCCCCCCAACAACAATGAGACCTTCAGTTAACACAGAGTGAACAGAGCAGACAAGAATAGTGGGGTGGTGGGGTGGTAGATGGCATCTTAGTATCTGCTCATCAGACAGTCCTGGAGCTTTGACCCTACAAGCAGTGGCTCCACTATATACCTTCTTTTATGACACTGCTGTCTTTGCAGAAAAGGGGTAGCAGACTATGTCCAGGGGACCATATCCAGGGCGGGCTGAAGTTAACGTCTGTTTGAGGCAGCAGCAAATGGCACTTGTCACTCTCTCAAAGCCAGCTAAGTTGTTCCAGCAAATGTGGCAGGGGGAAAAATAGCTGATAGCCAACTCTTCATACACTTAACAGTGTAAAAAAAGAGTAATCATACTTGTTAAAATTAAATCTCTAATAGTTTGCCATCTTGACTTGATGCCCAGCATTGGCTGTTAAAAGTGCCTCGCAGCTGGTAGTCCAAAAAAGAAGCTTTTTCGAAGACTGGCTCTGGGTGGGCTCAGTACCAGCTCTGTTTCCAAGATACACTCAGAACTATCTGAGCCCTACAAGAAAGCCATCCAAATTACGCTTCATGCATGGGGCCAAAAAAGGCAGAAGTTCGACAATGACTAAAGTCATTTGCATCTTGATTTGTTTCACTTATTCTGACATTGCTTGCTGCATTTGGGGGGGCATATTAAGGCAGTGGAGCCCAGTCGCTCTGATAGCACCCAAGGGGAGAGAGAGTGAACCTGCTCTGGGTTTTCCAGGTTCCTGGTCCCCTCCTCCTGAAAATGGATCCCAGCAGCCTCCGAGATATGAAAAAGCACGCTAGGTGTGCCTCTGGATGCTCATGGCCAGTTTGGATAGATTCCTGGCATAAAAGAAAAGCCAGGGAGTGTCTGGGGCAGAAACAGATGGAACCAAACAGAAGGCATTCCTGTGCGTCTTGATCCACTCACCTGGCTGGCTTGTTTCTACAGCTCTCGGAGGGATCTGGTGGGAGAGAGAAAGACAGCAAGCAGTGAGTCCAGCAAAGACCATACGGCCGGTCGGAATCGGAAAGGGCCCAGGATGGACTGTCCCTTCATCTGATTTTCATCTTGCAATACTGGATGCAAGATCAGTCAAGGACTGGAGTCCAAAATATCCCAAAGGTACCAAATTAGGGAAGGCTGGCTTTCCCTGGTAGGCGTATTTCCAAGGACTGCTGATGTTCAATAGTGCTCAGTGGAGTGGAAGGAACAGCAGCCAATGGTGGGCAACGTTTGGCGGTAAAAGGTAAAGGGAAAGGTTCTCCTTGACAGTTTTGTCCAGTCATGTCCGACTCTAGGGGGCGGTGCTCATCCCAGTTTCCAACCCACAGAGCTAGCATTTGTCCGCAGACAATCCTCTGTGGTCACATGGCCAGCGTGAATAGACATGGAATGCCATTTACCTTCCCACCGAGGTGGTATCTATTTATCTACTCACATTTTTTTGCATTTTGCATGCTTTTGAATTGCTAGATTGGTGGGAGCTGGGACAAGCGATCTTACAACGGCAGGTCTTCTGACCTTGCAGCACAGAGGCTTCAGCGGTTTAACCCGCAGCCCCGCCACGTCCCTCTGCTTAGGCGGAGCTGGGCCAAAAATGGGCCCAGCACACAGAGGCAAGCAGGTGAGCACACATGCACATACACACACATGTACATATGGAATCATGTACTGAGGACTCCCTCACCCCCATCCCAGTAATTCACAGAAAAATCCTGCCTGCCAGTTAGAAGTACTCCTGCGTGCTGTTTCCTAGTTCCACACATCCCTTTCCTGCCTGCCTGTCCATTCTCCCTCTCACCCACCCGTCCAAACAGACAAAAATGAAGCTGGGATTACAGAGCCCCATCCTTCCACCTCATTTAAGGGAAGAGGAGGAATCGGCAGGGTGTGTGTGGGGGTCTCAGAGGCTTAAGTGCACCTACATGTGTGTAGGTGGATGACCCAAATGGACCAGTCCTCATGGACTCTTTGCTGGCCCCGTTTTCACATGCAAAGGACTGATTCTGGAGCCTTACGAATGCAGACTGTATATTTCACCCTTCTTCCTGAAATCCTACAAAGATTTGGGATGATGTATATCTGAAAGGGGACGTGGTGGCAAGGGGACATGGTGGTGCTGTGGGTTAAACCACAGAAGCCTCTATGCTGTAAGGTCTGTAGATCTTCAGCTGTAAGATCGAATCCACATGACGGAGTGAGCGCCCGTCGCTTGTCCCAGCTCCCACGAACCTAGCAGTTCGAAGCACGCAAATGCGAGTAAATAAATAGGGACCACCTCGGTGGGAAGGTAACAGTGTTCTGTGTCTAAGTCGTACTGGCCATGTGACCATGGAAGAATGTCTTCGGACAAAACGCTGGCTCTATGGCCTGGAAATTGGGATGAGCACCGCCCCCTAGAGTCGAACACGACTGGACAAAAATTGTCAAGGGGAATTTTTACCTTTACCTTTATATCAGAAAAATCTTACCCTCTGTGAACAGTCTCTTTTTCCTATCTCCACATCTATTCAATACCCAATTGTTTTTTTAAAGGGATTCTTCCATTCTATTTTGGCATGTTTCTGTTCAAATGTGTGCATTTTAAGAACTGTGCATATTGCTCACATGGATTCCTCATCCTGGCCTGACTAAAATCACTTTCAGAACCACTGCCCATTATTTTCTTGAAATCATGGGAAATGGGTGAGGTGCCAGAGGATTGGAGAAGGGCTAATGTTTACCGCATCTTCAAAAAAGGGCAAACAGGAGAAACCGGGGAACTAAAGACCAGTCAGATTGACAACAATCGCAGGCAAAATTTTGGGACAGATTATAAAGCAGTCACTATGCAAATACCTGGAAAACAGTGCAGTAATAACTAGAAGCCAACATGGATTTGTCAAGAACAAATCCTGCCAGGCTAATCTGATCTCATTTTTTTTGATCAGGCAACCTCCCTGATAGACAGAGGGAATGCTGTAGATGTAGTATATCTTGATTTCAGCAAAGCTTTGGACAAAGTGCTCCATGATATCCTGATTAGCAAGCAAACTAGGTCTGGGCTGGATAGATCAAGTGTCAGGTGGATACACAGTTGGCTACAGCATTGTACTCAGAGGGTGACGATTAATGGCTCCTTCTCAAATTGGGAGGGGTTACAACTGGGATACCTCAGGGCTCAGTCCTGGGCCCAGTGCTATTCAATATCTTTTATTAATGACCTAGATTAGGGGATAAAGGGAATGTTAATCAGAGTTGCAGATGACAGAAAATTGGGTGGAATAGCCAACACCTGGGAAGACAGAAACAAAATTCAAAATGATCTAGATAGTCCTGAGTACTGGGGTGAAAAACAACAGAATGAAATTCAACAGCGATAAATACTGCATCTCATAAAAAGAAACCAAACACACAGTTACAAGATAGGGGATACCTGGCTCAGCAATACTATGACTGAGAAGGATGTTGGATTTGCCATAGATCACAAGCTGAATGTGAGCCAACAGTGTGATGTGGCTACAAAAAAGGCAAATGCCATTTTAGGCTGTGTTAACAGAAGTATAGGCTCCAAATGCCAAGATGTGCTAGTTCCCTTCTATTTAGCACTGGTTAGGCTTCATCTTAAGTGTTGCATCCAGTTCTGGACACCACCCTTCAGGAAGGATGCTGACAAATTGGAACAAATTCCAAGGTGGGCAAGAAGAATGATCAGGGGGTTGGAAACCAAGCCCTGTGAGGAAAGGCTGAAACAACGAGGCATGTTTAGCCTTAAGAAAAGGAGATTGAGGGAAGTTATAATAGCACTTTTCAAATACTTGAAAGGCTGACATACAGAGAAGGGGCAGGATCTGTTCTCCGTCATCCCAGGGTGCAGGACCCGCAAGAATGGGCTCACGTTACAGGAAGCCAGATTTCAGCTGAATATCAAGAAAAATGGAAGCAATCACCTTGAGAGGTGGTAAGTCCTCTAGCACTGGAGGCACTCAAGAGAAATTTAGAGAAGAACGTGGCAGATATATTTTGATTTGTATTCCTGCACTGTGTGGGGGGTTTGGACCCAATGGCCTTATAGGCCCCTTCCAGGTTCATGATAGTATGGTTTTATGATTCTAAAAGCATGGTCAAGCATGTTTCGCACTTGTATGTAGCATGTGCATTTTATCTATTTGAATTGCTCAGTGAGTTGGAGAATCTGGCTGTGGAGCCAGAGGTCGGATTCCCCGCAATGCTTCCTTCCTGGGATAAGAGTCTTGGGTAAACTGCACAGTCCCAGGATGCCTCCAGAAGAAGGGAATAGTGAACTACATCTGAGTACATCACATTTAGGAAGCCCCGATAAGTTGTCATAAGTTGGAATTGGTTTGATGGCATATCATCAGCATTATACACTTAAAAATGTGCTATGTTCAAATGGGCAAAAAAAAATGTGAGGATTCAAATAGTGGGCAAAAAAATGTGAGGATTGAAATAGTGTTGGGTTTCATGGTAGTCTAACAAGTGCAGACTGGATAGAGCTTTCAAAAAAGGTTGTAGGACTAGATTCCTCCTGACCACCACCCCCCTTGAATACACCCTCCCTTGTCAGCTTTCAGAAGTTACTCAGGGTCATGACTGGGATGGGAGATGGCCTGGGAATGCCGGAGTTCCAGGTAGGGCAAAGAAAGGAGCCTGCTAAGACCTTCAGAACTGCTGCCAGTCAGAGCTGGCAATGCTGGGCTTAATGGGCCAAAGATCTGACTCAGCATGAGGTAGCTTCTTATGTTCTTACCTAAAGATCCCATGGGTATATTTTAGTATTTTGCAAAAGTGGTGTGTGTGTTTCTGCAGTCACAACTTCTTCCAGTGGATGACTCACCAGGGCTCCAGGGCTGTGTCCTTGCGCCGACTGCTGCAGTCGTTTTTGCTCCAGTAACTTCCGCACAGTCTGGGCCGCTGTCACTCTGTCTTTGCAACCTGAAGACAGAGCAAATGGGGTTACGAAGGAAGGAGGGGTTGGAAGGAGGACACCCCGTGCCTGGGACTGGAGCCTTTGAGAGCCCCTTCTTCATCCTTCTTAAAATCTGAGAGGTAGTCCTGTTGCGCAGCTGTGCCATCTCAGAGCATCTTTTTACAGGTAGACCCATTGCAAAGCTTCCCTGCAGATCAGGGAAAAGTTAAACACCTTATCACTGATGCAATCATTTCTCTGCAAGAAGCCTAAAAGGAAACTTCTGTTCTGAATTTCGTATTACAGCATTTGTGTTTTCTTTAAGATAAAAGACAGCATCCTACCTCTATTTGCACAATATACCGGTATGTGTCCAGTTTCATTGCATTCACATAATGTTGCACTTTTAAAAAAAGCTGTTTTCAGGAGTTCGTGTGGATTATAACAGATTGCATTAATCTGTTACAGTACAGTGGGGTCTCTACTTAAGGAGTGCATTCACATAATGTTGCACTTTAAAAAAAGCGGTTTTCAGGAGTTTGTGTGGATTATAACAGATCGCATTAATCTGTTACAGTATTAGTATTTATCAGTATGTATAGCTTGTCATCATTTGGGAGTGCTTGACCCAGACCCTTTTACATAGGACAAACAGGCCAGTAAGGGGCAGAAATTCAACTTTAGAAACAGCAATTTCCAAACAAAACAAAAACAAGCACAACCAAACCAAGCAGAAATTAAATGAACCAAACCTGAGCAAATTTTTTTAAAGTCCAAACTAAACCAATATAAAACAGCCACCTCCTCAATAGTGGCAACTCCAGATGACCTCACCCAGCGGCCTCATATAGATATTAAATAGCACTGGTGAAATGATTGACCCCTGAAGAACCCCACAATTGAGGATCCATGGGGTGGAAGTCATCTCACCAAGCTGCACTCTCTGAGAACGGTCCCCCAAGAAGGAACGGAGCCATGCCAAAGCGAGCTGGTGGCAGTATACTAGCCAACCACCAGAGCATTGACAGGAGTGCCAACCAAGTCAGCCAGAATCCCCCGCATGATATCTTGGAATCCAACAGGATCCAGTAACCTGTGGGGATGGACCATCTTAATGGGTCCAAGCTCCCCGCGGGAGGGAAGTGCCACTGTGAGGCTGCAATTAATTAGGTGGTGATCCGACCATGACAAAGGGGACAATATCAAGTCGGCCACCATCGGAGCACACTCTCTCTGCTTGGCAGCGAAGACCAGATCCAGCATATGGCCGCCCACGTGGGTAGGACCACTAATGTGTTGGGTCAAGTCCAAGGAAGCCATGGTTTCCAGAAACTCTTGACTGGAAACCTTAGCCTCTGCGTGAATGTTAAAGTCCTCCAGAACCAATAGTCTGGAGAATTCAACAGCGCCACTGTTATAGCTCAGTGGTTTAGGTACCTGGCAGTAGAGCCAGAGGTTGGGAGTTTGATTCCCCATGGTGCTTCCTGGGAGGACAGCCAGCCTGGGTGGCCTTGGGCAAGCTGCACAGTCCCAGGATGGCCCCAGAAGAGAGAAATGGTCAACCACTTCTGAGTATTCTCTACCTGGAAATCCCTGAAACAACCACACCTGAGTATTCTCTACCTGGAAATCCCTGAAAAGGGTCATCATGAGTCACAATTGACTTGACAGCACATTATCATCATCATCAATGTCCGAATGACTTTTAGCCACCACTACCATCAAAATGTATACCTTGAGAGCCCAATGACTGGTGATGGTTCTTAATAGCTCCTGATAAGACGATCACCAGCCTGGACCTTTTGCATTTTCATTACATTTCATATTCCCCATCCGTCTCCAGCTTGTATAAATGTCTGTCTACTGAGGCTGCATGCCATGCATCTGAAGAAACAATCTACAGTCCACAAGAGCTTATGGCAGATAAACACATGGTTGTTTTTCCTTCTTGCAGATTGTGGGAATTTTCAAATTATTTGGCATGGCTTATCACTGTTTTACGTGTGGGAGAGTTGGGATGAATGACCTCTAGAGTTACTTGCAGCCCAGCAGTTATATTGCTTTGCTTCATTCCCTTTCTACTAACCTAGGATGAAGAGCCAGTGTAGCATAGTGGGACACTGTTGGACTGGGACTCAGGAGAGCTGGGTCCAAATACTAGCTCAGCTATGAAAGCTTACTGGGACCAAGGGTTCCACTGGTAGAGCCACTCCTTAAATATCTCATAAGAGCTGGGTCCAAATACTAGCTTAGCTATGAAAGCTTACTGGGACCAGGGGTTCCACTGGTAGCGCCACTCTTTAAATATCTCACCATAAATTGGAATTGGCTTGATGACATATAATGTAAAAGGGTAGGGATGCAGTACTTCTCAACTACTGGATATCATCCTTAGTTTTCAATTGGAACTGTAGCAGGCTTCCTTCCGGCTTTTATATACATCACAAAAGACACGTGTCAATTACGTTCATGAAATTAACTTAATGTGTACTTTGATTTTGTTTCCTTTTGGGGAGCATCTATGATATTTTTGAAGTACAGTAGGACCCCCCTTATCCGCTAGATCAGCATCTGCCCATTCACGTATATGCTGCCTGAAAATATTAAATAAAAAACCACAGAAATATGTATTTATATATCTTTTCATGGTGTATTTACTACAACTCACCACTAGAAGGAGCCAGAGACAATGCTTATGTATGGCGTTCCCTACTTCTACGATTTTCGGACTCTGCGGATGGGGTGGGCGGGCTTGGAACTGATTTCCCGTCGATACGGCACCCCCTACTGTACTCTTTATATTTACAAATTCAGATGCAGAGAAGAAAAATGAAATCCAGAAGCAGGGGCAAAGTTACTTCTTCAGTGACAACTTCCAGAATCTTCTGGCCATCATGGAGCTGTTGGAGGCATTTGTAACTCGTAAAGGTAACTTCCCACCTGCTGAGGATGGACAAGTGGTTGAGGTTTGCTCTTTTCTCAACTTTTGGATTTTGTTAAGTCTCCAGCACGTTCCGTCCAGTTCATGAAAATATTTGAGGACGGGGGGCAAATGCTCAACCAAAACTAAGCCAAACCAGCCAAATTCTCAGCCATCTCAAAATCCCTTTCCTGGCACAGAATCACGGATCTGTCCCTGTCATGCTGTTGTCACAGCAGAGGGGTCTCTGCCGGAACAGACGAAGTGACAATCTTAATTAAGCTTCAGAACACCATGATTGAACAGCCGTGGATCAGTGCCCGGGCTTTTAAGCACGAAAGGCTGAACTGCTACAGCGCTACACGCTCGCCAGTTTAACTAAACTGATGAATCTCTCACTTTTCCTTTCTCATGGATTCACAGTGTTGAAAGCTGTAGCTGAAAAGGTCTTGTAAGTTTTGGAGAGTTCTCAAAGAAACAAGGAACCAGGCAAAATCCGTAGACATCCCAGGTGCAGGGAAAGAACAAATATGGCTACAAGGCAGCAGCTCCTCCGAAGGAGCAGTTCTGGGCAGCTTCCATCAAGGCTTCCAATTTTCGCCGAGAGTCACATTCCACATAAAGTCAAGTGCCTCTTTCTTCCTCAAACAATTTTGTCTCTCCCAGCTCGCAAATCTTCTGCCAATAAAGCTTGAGTCATGTAAATAACGCAATCGTGCCAACCCACTGATCGACTGCAAAGCAAAAGCAACCTGATTTGCCGGATATAGTTCTAAGACATGCTACGCTTAGCGCAAAGAATGTCTTTTTCTCTGAAGGGCCCGCTGCTGCTATTACAGAGTTCCAAATTTCTGGTAAAATTCCCTTTTCCGGTGCAGTAGAAGTACAATTATTATCCACCCGGGAGAATTGTTACAAGTTCCCAAGAATCCACCCTTTTTTCATTAACTGCCACTTAAAGTCTCAATAACTCACCTCGAGACATTTATAGGAGAAAGAGTAAAAAAATATTTCTTTACCTACAGTTGCTTGAAATTATGGATTTGCATCTGCTGCTTCCTTTACTCTACACGTGCCTGGTTAACAACAAGCAAGACAACTGTCGACAAGGGACTAAAGAGAGGGAAAAGACGTTCGGCAGTGGCAGGGCTCTCTTTGAATCAAAGGCTAGAAGGAGCAATTCATTTGAAAAGTCCCTTTCAGTCACTCAAACTGCAGACGATATGTGAGGTTGCAAATAAAACTCCAACAGCGTCTAGATAATGGAATGAATGTCTCATCTGGCGAGGCCCTGATCCTATCTCTTGCTCACAGTGACATACATCCTGCCACGGTCTTTATCGAAGCAGCCAGCTTCCGTTTCTCACATGCACAACTGCTTCTAGAGCGGGAAGGTGTGTTTCCCTCTCCAGGCGCTTATGGGCGTCTCACTTAAGAACACAGAGAGGTTTCAAACTCTCAGGAGACCAGCTCCTAACTAGAGTGGGAGAGAAATTGGTTCCATCTGAACTTGCATAATTTACAATTTGGTAAATCAATACATGACCTGAAATGCAGCTATGCATCAAGGTGTGCAGTTCTAACATTGCAAAGCCGCTTCCTCGTTTGAAAAACGCAAACTTGTCTGAGGTAAAATGAATATATGTGTAAAAGCACAAGTAAAAGATGCAGGATATTGGAGGAGGGTTATTGCAGTGAAGACAGAAATATGCATGAAAGTGCAAACAGATTGTTGTGCGTTTTTTGTGTGCATTTCCGATATGAAAGCAGAATGAAAGATAATCAGGATGTGGAAAATGAGAAATTGAAAGAATCTCACATTGAAAGATATAGCCCAGAGATATAAAACCTTTCAGAGGTAGTTGGATCCCATTGGTTCCAGCTAGCATGATCAAGGATGATGGGAATTGTAGTTTGGCAACAACTAGATGTGTTAGAGCCTAGTGCTGACTATAGTTTGAGCGACTATGAGGGACTTTTCCGGGATAGAGTGACTGCCTATCTATCCAGCACTACCCAATTGTTCTTTCCAGCCTTCGAAATTCGAAGAGAGCCCCACGTCTCTACTGACGGCTCTTTTCCCTTTCTTTAGTCTGCTAGTGGCCA